TAAATAACACAAATCCCATTGGGTGACATTATATTCTAGGGTTGTGAAGCATTTGTCAGGAGCTTCAAAAAGATGTATCACAAGAACCCCCCTTTCCATTTAATTTTTTTCCCAGATGGCGCCCAGTCGTCATTTTGAAAGTTTCATCTGTCAATTTTACTTCAAAATAAAGTATCCATACATCAATTTAATTATCCCAAATTTCAATTTTTGAGTTGATCCGTTCAAAAAATAAAAGTGGGAGGGCATTAAAGAAATGCACCGTATATTATATAAATCAATTGTCCATTTTTCATTTTCTCTATCGATACTAATTCTTACTAATAGTAATAATATGAATGAATATGATTATTGACACAAATATAAAGTATGTCATGATTGCAGTTTTTTGTTTTCTTCACTTGTTGTTTGATTGTGGATCTCTTCGTTCGAAGCAATATTCTTGTATTGCTTCCATTGAAAAATGAATCACTTTCAGTATTTCATTCTTACGTTATGTATTATCAGTGGTGGGTCTTGATAATTCTTGAATAGGTATAATTATTGATATGGGTATTCATAGAGCCATCTGGTTGGTGAATGACTCTTTATATTTATTGCAGAATTCAAAAATGATATTGAGTGCATGGATATATTTCTTCATATTCACAGGGACAGCTTTTATACAAGTACTTGCATAATTTTTTTTTCAGTGGAGATGTCCACTGATTGGTATTTTATTTCGATGCACAAAGGATTTTTTCTACGAACGCGCAAAAAGTATTTTTCACATGGTCTACTCTGTCAAAAATTTAACTTTTTGCACTAGTGCAGAAAGTAAACTTAATCAATATATAGGTGTCATTATTCTTGAATGATACGTGATTCTCAGGGCCTAGTTATGTATCATTCTTACAATTTCAATCACTATCACTGTATTGAAAATTCCAATGTGATTCTGGAAAAATATCGAAACTTTTTTTATACAGAAATTAACAGGTTAAATTTGATATTGCAATCATTACAGAGACCGAAATGAAAAACGAATTGTCGCGCTTCACTGATTCACACAACCTTACGAAAATAATACAACAATCCTTCAATTGAAACTCCACCTTGACTATCAACAATTTATATATGATATCCGGAAACATCAAGATCATAGTCAAAACTCATTCGTATAATAAGAAATTTGATAATTCCAATTTCGATAAAATCGAAAAGAATACACGACGTATCGGTGATGCATCCAATCCCGTCATGTAGTGAGAGAAATATTTGAAAATGAAATGAATAAATGTCTAATAAGAAAACAAGTTCAACATACTCAAATCGTCTTTCAGAAGAAAAGCATATCTTCAAAGGAGATTTCGATATTTTGCTCATTGAAAATGTTCAAAGCTAAATCTTTTGAAAACATTGAAAATAAATAAACTTGAAAAATTCAAACATTTTACTGAATGGCCCCAACTGGATTTAAATAGATCACCATAACTGAACTTGTTTTCTGAGAAACCGATGTTATTCTAGTCTTTGTAGACATATTATTGATGTAGAAGTAATTTATGATCTGGTTAATTAGAATTCAATATGTACTTGTGGTACTTATATGAAAGTTGAGTGAATGTAGAAATAATATATGATCTATTCAGGTAATTATGACTGAGTATGTACCAGGTATTTCTCACTGTGATTAAGTAGGGTAAGGTAGGGTAGGTAGGGTTCTAGAGTCCTTGGCAATTGACCCCAATTTTCATTATCGATCCATATTTTTTGAGAGCGACGTTGGCCAGGCCATCACTGTCAACGGCAAGCACTATAGGTCGATGATTACCAACGTGTTGTGACCTGAATTGGATGATACAGACACCAACGGCATGTGGTTTCAACAGGATGGCGCTACGTACACGCAGCTTATGCCACACTGGAAATTCTGCAAGAGCGATTTGAGGCATGGTCATCTCACGTAGAGGTGATGTGAACTGACCAACCAGATCGTGCGCATCGACCCCATTAGACTTTTTCTTGTGGGGTTTTCTTAAGTCTCAAACACTTTGTTTTATTTTCGAGCGCCAGCATTTTCAACCAATCCCCTATACCATGTGCCCTTAGTAAGCACAGTGAGCCAAGAATGCAACTGTCCGGCTGAGATTTCTGCCTCAGTCCGGCAAGCCGGTATGATCTCGAGATTCGAGAGTAGGGGGAGCATCATTCCACCAAGGACTTCAATAATCAGAACAACCATTTCGACAGAGTGGTCTGATCAGGCTCATTATCTTGTATGAGCCTGAGGGTGGGGAACGAATAGTTCCAATAAATTCGGCACTTTTCGTCCCCCGGAGCGTAGGGCAACACCGGTGTCTCATCAATACCGTAAAAGGGTCGTAAGTGATGATAAAGCACTCACAACACCGCGTTATGTCGATTTCACATATGCCGGTTGTTGCATCAGCATATTGAAGAATTTTCAATTAAGTAGAAATGGTTTTAGATCTAGATCTTTTTCGTACCGATAAAGAGGGAAACTCTGACAAAATCAGGGAAAACCAAAAGAAGCGTTTTAAGGATGTAACATCTATCCAAGATGCAATACGGGTTTCAACAAAATCGATCGACGAATGATGCAATAGCCGAGCTTACTCAGAAAATCTATAATAGTTTAGATTCGAGTCGTGCGTGTGCTGGAGTATTCATAGTTTTGGCAAAAGCCTTTGACACCATAAGTCACCAAAGGCTTTTGTTAAAATTGGAAAGTATTGGAAATCGCGGACCACCATTGTCACTTTTGAATAGCTACTTATGTAAACGAAGCCAAATAGTTAGAATCGGTAGTGTACAGAGTAGTAAAAAAATATTGAGGAACCGTCCTGGGACCCATATTATTCCTAATATACTTAAACGATCTATTGATTGGATCAGATGCTGATAGGACAATACTTTTTTTGCGGGCTGTGCTTTACGTCGAAGGTAAAACTTGGAAAGAAGTCGAACAAAAAATAACCAGAGATCTACAATTCATGGTAGAATGGTTTGATACAAATTTACTAACCATAAATTTGGAAAAAACTACATATGTCCCCTTCTCAAACTATAAAACTGGGCTGCCAGAAAACCAAACAATTCATATAAATCTTCCTTTTCGAAGAGATATATGGATTCTTCAAAGCACTGACCACACTAATTATCTAGGAATAACGATAGATAGTTATTTGAGATGGCACTATTACATCCAACTCCTAACAAAAAAAATAGATCTCTGATGTACATGTTCAGATAGATTTTAAGAATCACCTGCAGACAGACTATGAGAAATATATAATACGCCCTTGTCCAATCACTTTTATGTTACGGCATAGTAGGTTGGGGAGAACATAAGAAAACACCTTGAAACCTCTTGAGATAGCACGAAAACGAATAATAAAAATAATTTCCAAAAAAAAATATTCGCTTTTCTTTCGAAAATTTATTCAAACAATTTCTAAATCTCAATGTAAGAAACATCTTCCATAAAACCGCGCTTACTCAAATTGTCAAACATAACCTTATGCAAAATGAAATCATACGTGGGTCAGAAAGTATATAATAATATCCCGCAGGATCTGAAAAGAAAAGTAAGATATAAATCTTCTAAAAAATTATTATCAAATTATTTGATTTCTAATACCATTTCAATATTTCAAAATTGTTAAATAAAATAAAACACTAGGCGTAGAATAGGGAAAATAGGAAAATGAAGCAGCTATATCTGCAGTCAAGCTTCAAGCTTAATGCTTTGTGTGCATATGTTGTTCAGTTGAAGAAAAAACTACAATATTAATGTAATTACATGAATATTTTTGTTGTATATTTATTCAAACATTTACCTAATGTATAAATAATGTCTGTT